AAAGGGCAGTATATTTCAGCAACAGTGTGAACTGTTGTGTATGAACGCGTTTTTGTTCGACCATGCTGTTCTGCGCTTTTGCACTGCAACTGCTGAAATGTCACTAAGCTGTAGCCTGTTTAAACCGCAGAAACAAGCGAACGATGCAACTGTGCCGTGCGAATCCAGAGAAGTTACAGAAGATTGTAATGCTTGAACGTGTTCAATAAGAAACGGCATTAGCAAAATAATAAGATTACTAGTCGATGACAAATTAATCGAAAGCTTTGAAGAAAACGTTTGTTTAAAATTACAACGAATATTGCTGTTCCACGTTAGAATCAGAACATCGTTTCTGTGGTCTCGGAAGGTCCGCAACGTTGAACAAAAATTTTTTCCAGGCCTTCGAGCCGTTTTTATCGCCTATTATGTTCACCGTCTATATTTTCTACTGCACATTTTCCGTCTTCTTTGCATTAGTTCTTGGTGATATGCAGCATTGACAGAGCACTATAGTATATTTATCCTAGCGGTTTTCCTCAGCCTCGTGGACGTTTAGTTTTGATTGTGGACCTGCAGTGACCTGAGATGCCAGAAGATAACGGATGGAAAGAACGATTATAGAGAAAAATCGTTGACATGCTGCTGGAAATGTTCATTTCGTTGTTTGAAGCCTTTCTTTCGATCTGACGATGGTCTGCCCCTGGCATCTTAGATGTGTATGGCTCAAGTCACTTCCTTAACGGCCAGATGTTTTACTCTTCAGAACGCTGTGGTCAAAGGATAGTTGATTAATTTGGACGTGTCTCTAGTACCAACAAAATTAAGTGATGTCTCTTCTGAAGAAGTTTCAGACGGAACCAGTCGCTAGGTTTAACTTCGATTTCATAGATGATTTGCTGAAATAAATATTTTTTTATTTTGATTTACGGTTGAAACAAATAGAAAATTAACGAGTGCGCGACCATTGTCCAGTCCGGCGCAAGATCCGCAGCGATCCTACATCTCATGGTGGTAGGCCACCTACTAGAAGGGCCACTTTGGTGGAGTAGTCTCCCCGTTTGGATGACGCACCTCACTGGAACCGGATTTTTGGCGTTGTTCTGAGGCGGAGTAGTCAACTGTGGTATCAGAAATGGCCATTACGTATTTTATTATGACAGCCAGCAACCAGCATGCATTTCGAGGTTTATCTTGATGATATACTACAAATGGACGTTTCCATCCGCATTTCGCAGACTCCTTCTAGGTCCGCTTGCCTCTCATGTCCAGTAAAGCTGTCTGACGAAGCGCCAGCAACAGTTGCAATCCGAAGAACATGTTCTGTGAGGTAGAGATTGAAACATTTTTCTCCAGTCTTCGATGAGCCTGTTGTGCTAGGTTTTAATTCACTGTTTTTAAGAACTGGATGGAAGAGGAACATTTCAGCTTTATGCACTCTTTTAGTGCTATAAGTAACATTCTGATGTCGCTTTTCGAATCTTTTATCTGTTGTACCTGAGTTTTCAGTGCTTCGTTCACTTTTCGTGATCGGCCTATCTCAGTCGATAGAACGTCCAAATCACAGCGTCAATAGGTCATGGGTTCGAGTCCCGGTTAGGCCACTCTCTTTTCATAATTCCGATGTTGATAAATGAGTGCCACTTTGTGTGAAATTAAACGAGAACTAGGCGCTGTACTTGCCACATGGCTGTAGACGTTGCTCGTATAGTGCACACTTGGCTGACCGTAGAAACACCGTGGACTACAGGAAAGGGAAGGGGTGGTGCCAGGTGGTGTCAATCGTGGATTAGTTAGGCGGTCCAACGTCTCATAAGTTCCCAACTTTTTGCTGTTTCCTTTTAGTTTTAGAATGTATATTTGTATTTTCCTTGGGTTTCTTTCATACGACGGCCGACTTTATCATCGAAGGAACCTAATGAACTATTTATTTAAACTAAAAAATGTGCAAGCTTCATTCGTGTATGCTTGCAGATTACTGACGCAACTTAAGGTGAATTTGCAGCGGTTTTTCCTTTTTTGATAATATTTTGACGAGTACATTTGTACTGTGTCAGCTACGTGATGTTTGAGTTGTACTCAACCTTATATTTTCTTAGCTGTCGATTTTTAGGATATCTTTTGAGAAGCGTTAATCCATCCGGTGCTTGTTATTAGAACTGATGTGTAGTCTGCAATTCTGTGTTCAGGTGATTTTTGTTATGCTATATTCTTGATTTTATAGAAGACCGCATATGGGTAGAGACGTGTCCGAGTCCGCTGGCTGTGTGACATGTTGGGTGATTCCGAATGATCGCGATTAGAAGTTACGTTTTTTTGTCATTTGAACTTCACTGGCATTTCAGGGGTGTTACGGCGAAAAGAAAAAAGTTTAGCGTAGCATTGGCAGAAGATAATGGCGACTTCTGCAGTTGACGATAATTCGACGCGATCCACATCTCAAGAAACTAACTTCAGTTCAATTGCTATTGCTTCTAATTCATCGGAAAACAGTCCTCGCAGGCCTTTGGTACAGCACAGTATTCTTTCTAATTTCTTAAATAAGACAACGAAGTAAGGAAAGTTTGTGACCACTATTTGAATTTCTATGATGGGTGATATTTCTACGCCAGAAGCTTGTTTTGCAGTGCTTCTGTTTTGGTTTCGTCAGCCAATATTAGCTTCACTTGACGTTGTTATCCAACTTCCCACCATTTGGATGATGAACCTTACTGGTTTCGAATCCGTAATTTTGATTCAGCAAGGTGGCGCAAAAGCTTGTTTCGTCATTCATGGACTGGTTTATTTGAAAATAATAAACCAGAAAGAAATTAACAAACCCACAGCAAGATAGTTAGAAAGGGTGAGACGAAGCGTAAGCTTGGTCTAGGTCTAGGCACCGCTGTTGCTTCGTAACAGTCTCAGGTATTTCATTGCCTCACCATTGCGTATATTTCCTTGAGGTCTCCGTCTCTTTTATTTTATCAATTTGTCTAGCTGATAGTTTTTCAAAAATTCTTCTAAAATCCTAGTTTTAAAACAAGCGTCATCAAAAAACATTGTTACCCCAGCTGCATAATTTTTATCTGGAATTGTATGGTGGCTTAGGTGTTCAAGAATTTATCATGTTTACAATTGTTTTTGTAGTTGTTTTCTGTCATCCTCATGTACGGTCTTCGCCATTGGCTGCAGGGATTAAACTTATGATATCAGCTGGTGGGCTAGCTGAGTAGTGTAATTATAGACACTTTTTATTTCCACGAAGGACATACTCCTAAGCGACTGCAAGCCTGCTTGAAAAAAGCCAGTGTTGGCCTTTGGGGTAACGACTTACCTGACTGGGTTCCTGTGAAAGAACGTGGTGGAAAAGCTATTCGTCGTCTGTGCTCGTGGTTTTATCAGACCATGTAATTCGTTATTTCTGCAAAA